GCCAATAAAGTTAAAGCTGATATATTTTTCTTTCTTGGCCACATGAGCTCTCTATGGCCAAGAACCGAAATTTGAACACGTACTTTTTATCAGAGGATTCAACAAGTTTCAAAATCTCTGAAGATAAGGCGCTCTGCTCCTGTCTCCTCCTCCATCCTGTGTGTGTGGCTCTGTGTGTGTGCGCGTGTGTCTGTGTGTGTCATTCTTTGAGTTCCACTGCAGTGCGCATGTTTCATAGATACAGACAGGAGAGGCAGAATAGAGGCTCATGCATGAATGTCCAACGAATAACTCCGATTGTTGTTTCAAAAATAGAAAACCGTTGTGGACGCTACGTCGCTACTTGATAAGAATAATAACGAAACTACTGGAAAGTTACTTGATAAATAAAGCAGCGACGCTATGGTCAAGCTACTGGAAAATGTAGTTAAACTAATAGCTCCGCTACATATAGCGGCGCTACTGCCCATCATTGACCGTCTCCAAATAGTTTCCACAAAGATGGAGAACAGGGTTATCCAAAATATCTTCCTCTGCTTAACTATGCAGAGTTTCTTATAATTTTGGGGTCTGTATTAGCGGTGAGCAGATACATGGGCCGGTCTATAATAGGGTTAAAAGTAGTGTTTTTCTTTTTGTATTTTTGATACTGACATCAGTCGATGCATTCGTTCACCGATTCTTTTGTGCATTCAGCAGCCGTGCATGAAATCATGTGAAGCGCATGCATTGCTGCTCCTGCCATTTGCCATTGTTTTTGATTTGTTAATGTTTTTTTTTTTTTTTTTTTTAAGGCATGTGTAACATTTTTAATCATTGGCAGTTCATCCGTCCATTTTCTGTCTTGCTTAATCCCAGTTGGGGTCGTGAGGATTGCTGGTGCCTATCTCCAGCTATTTATGGGTGAGAGGCGGGGTAAACCCTGGACAGGACGCCAGTCCATCGCAGGGCAACACAGAGACAAACAGGACAAACAACTATTCACGCACAAACTCATACCTAAGGAAGAATTTAGAGAAGCCAATAAACCTAACAGTCATATTTTTGAACTGTGGGAGGAAACTGGAGTACCCGGAGAGAACCCACGCATGCTCAGGGAGAAAATGCAAACTCCATGCAGAAAAATCCCTGGCCGGGAATCGAACCCAAACCCCTGCGCCACTGAGCAGCCATCTTTGGCAGTTTTATCATGTAAATGAAAGAAGAAATAGCAATATTGACTTCAAAAATCAGCATATATCTGTGATCAAATAGACAGATTCCAAAATCATCTGCCTTAAAAAAAAAAGGACTAACCTGTATCTGACAATCTCTATTACCAGCTAACTGCAGACTTACGAATGTCTGTTATCGTTTCCATTCACTTCCACCTTGTTATGATATCACAGACTGTTAATAATGCAGTAGATGAGGACATTTCATGCCTAGACTTGTTGCACAGTTGACATCCTATTAAACTGCCTCGCTTCAGTTCACTGAGCTCCTGAGTGCGATTCATTTTTCAAATGTTTATCAAAATGTCTGCTTGGCCAAGAGCTTCATCGCAACACCTGCGGCCATAGAAGTGATCTGAAGAGCTGATTTTATTTATCTAGACGGGTGAGTGGATACTTGGTACAAGAGAGTTTGGTCTGACTGTTGGCAGTGTTTCTAGACAGTAAATACAGGTCCTTCTCAAAATATTAGCATATTGTGATAAAGTTCATTATTTTCCATAATGTAATGATAAAACTTGTACATTCATATATTTTAGATTCATTGCACACTAACTGAAATATTTAAGGTATTTTATTGTCTTAATACTGATGATTTTTGCATACAGCTCATGAAAACCCAAAATTCCTATCTCATAAATTAGCATATAATGAAAAGGGTCTCTAAAACGAGCTATGTGCCTTATCATCGGAATGAACGAATTAACTCTAAATTCCTGAGGCCTTTAAAACTCCCAGCCTGGTTCATCACTCAAAACCCTTATCATGGGTAAGACTGCCGACCTGACTGCTGTCCAGAAAGCCATCACTGACACCCTAAAGCAAGAGGCTTTGACACAAAGATATTTCTGAACGAATACGCTGTTCCCAGAGTGCTGCACCAAGGCACCTCAGTGGGAAGGAAAAAGTGTGGCAGAAAACAATGTACAACGAGAAGAGGTGACCAGACCCTGAGGAAGACTGTGGAGAAGGGCTGATTCCAGACCTTGGGGGACCTGCAGAAGCATTGGACTGAGTCTGGAGTATAAACATCCAGAGCCACAATGCACAGGCGTGTGCAGGAAATGGGCTACAGGT